AGGTCCCTTCCAACCTGAACCATTCTATGATATGATTCTAATAGGTTGGTCTAGGAAGCATTGATAAAATAACTTTCCAAACTTGTCAGTGGTAGAGTCAGACAGATACTCTACCTTGTGGCTATTATGGAAAAGATTCCTCTCTGTGTTGGAAGATTTTGGACTGAGCACTGGATACTAAGCTGTGTTACTTGTTTTTTTTCAATCCCAGTTAAATTTCAACAGGAAGTTACATTCTAAATTAAAGGAAATGGGCTATGGTACTTTTGCAGTAAGGTGTGTCTTTGTTCCATAATTTATATTGGTCTGAGGGTTGTTTTTTTTTGCTGTGACTGAAGGAAAAGTTATATCAGAAGCTTGCTGTTTGTTGTGGCAAATCGATTATTCTGTACATTATCACAGCTAGCAAGGGAGAATGGTACTGGCTATGCTGCAGTTAATCTGCAGGTATTGTGTATTCCATGGACACAAATTGGTTGTTCTGAACTGTAGTCCATTGCTGGAATTAATCATATATGGGTTTGATTTTTGTGGAAGGTTCTGGTAATATGAATCTAGAAAAATACATGTATTTATTTACAAATGTTTGTTGGTTTTTTTTTCTTTTCCTGAGGCTCATGAAGCTCTTGTGTCATCTTGAAGCACAATATATGAGAATAGAGTTGTACAACTCTGTACTGCTTAAACATGCTTAGTAATATGAAAATGTTCAAGTCTGTGAGCGAGGGAAGTGTATCCACATTAAAAACCTGCACAAGTGGCCCCAGGTCATGTTCTGACTTTGAGCATGGGTACTTCCCAGGTAGGCTTTTGCCCTGTTCCTTGTTTGAACATTTGAAAGGGACCCTAGGTGTGTGAACATCATAGTAATTGAAGAAGGTTGATCCTTCAAGCTTCCTTTGCAGATTGGAAAGAGAGAAGTGAGAGCTCACAGCCACAGCTTCCACTGGGCTCTGTATGCTACATCTCCTATGCACTGCGGCTTTTTGGCCATTAGCTTTATGTGGCTGCAATATTCCTCCCTTTCCAAATGAACCACTGACTTGTGCTCTGGCTACCTGACTCCTGAGGTAGCTTCAGAGGCGATGCCTCAGTGACTTCAGCTGATAGTCAAAACACACTTTTCTGCTGACTCTGCCTGTGTATATGCTGTATCACTGTAACAGGCAGCCACTGGCAGAGTTGAAGATGTAATCTCTAAAGTTCAGTCATCATATTTTTTTGGAAGTTTCGCAAGTGTAAATTTATGATCGTTGCTAAGTTTTTATTTTGGAGGTTGTTTTTTTCCTCTCCATTCTCTGCTGTTGCATATGGAATCATTATACCAAAGAAAAGCTTCCTAATGGGATTAGTAGGTTTTTGTTCCCCATGCAGCTTTTGACATTCCTTAGGTATTCTGTCTGGTAGCTCTTCCTGCTATGATTCAGCACAGGAGAATGTTTCAAGCATGTGCATTTGTACATATGTAATGAATCAGCTGGTCTAGGTTGGGGAAGGGTGAGAAAATCAGCCCTGGTTTCTTTTGTTTCTCCTTTGACTTACTTGCTGACTGTATTGCTATGAACGTTGGAGATCAGGTTTCCCAAGATAAACCTGCTCTTTGGGCAATGAATTTAGAGTATGTAACTTCTGAAACTCATCTTACAAAAAATAAACACATGCCAAAGGTAGATGCAATTCTCTGTCCACTCATCTATAAATTAAGGCTTTTTTCCCCATCTTATAGTGAATAATGGATACACTTTTTGGTAAGTAAAAATAATAATAATGAATGTAACTGTCTCATTAATCTTACTATTTTTTTTTGCTTATAGGTGTGAAAGAAAATGTCAGTCAGCATGCATGAAAATCGCAAATCTAGGGCCAGTACTGGCTCCATAAACATATACTTGTTCCACAAGTCATCCTACGCTGATAGTGTCCTTACCCACCTGAACCTTCTGCGCCAGCAGCGTCTCTTTACAGATGTACTTCTCCATGCTGGGAACAGGTCATTCCCCTGCCACAGAGCTGTTTTAGCTGCTTGCAGCCGCTATTTTGAAGCGATGTTCAGTGGAGGACTGAAAGAGAGCCAGGACAGCGAAGTCAACTTTCATAATTCTATTCACCCAGAAGTCTTGGAGCTTCTTCTGGACTATGCATATTCCTCCAGGGTTATCATCAATGAGGAGAATGCAGAGTCACTGCTGGAAGCTGGCGACATGCTGGAGTTTCAGGACATTCGAGATGCTTGTGCAGAATTTCTGCAGAAAAATCTTCATCCCACCAACTGTCTGGGGATGCTGCTGCTGTCAGATGCTCACCAGTGCTCCAAGCTGTATGAGCTCTCGTGGAGGATGTGTCTTAGCAACTTCCAGAGTATCAGTAAAAGTGAAGACTTCCTCCAGCTGCCAAAAGACATGGTAGTGCAGCTCCTCTCCAGTGAAGAATTAGAAACTGAAGATGAAAGGCTGGTGTATGAATCAGCTATCAACTGGGTCAACTATGACCTGGGTAAGCGCCATTGTTTTCTACCTGAGCTATTGCAGACAGTGAGACTGGCCCTCTTGCCAGCCATATACCTGATGGAGAATGTGGCCATGGAAGAACTTATCACCAAGCAAAGGAAAAGCAAAGAGATTGTAGAAGAATCGATAAGGTGCAAGTTAAAGATCTTACAGAATGATGGAGTGGTCACTAGTTTGTGTGCCAGACCCCGTAAAACTGGCCATTCACTTTTTCTTTTGGGTGGCCAAACCTTTATGTGTGACAAGCTGTACCTGGTGGACCAAAAGGCAAAGGAGATAATTCCAAAGGCCGACATACCAAGTCCACGGAAAGAGTTCAGCGCTTGTGCTATAGGCTGCAAAGTGTATATCACTGGGGGACGAGGATCAGAAAACGGGGTCTCCAAAGATGTCTGGGTGTATGACACCCTTCACGAGGAGTGGTCCAAGGCTGCTCCCATGCTGGTAGCTAGGTTTGGACATGGCTCTGCCGAGCTTAAGCACTGTTTGTATGTAGTAGGAGGACACACCGCAGCAACTGGTTGCCTTCCAGCTTCCCCTTCAGTATCCTTAAAGCAAGTAGAACAATATGACCCTGTGACCAACAAATGGACCATGGTTGCCCCATTGCGAGAGGGAGTAAGCAATGCAGCTGTAGTCAGCGCAAAGCTTAAGCTGTTTTCTTTTGGAGGTACCAGCGTTAGCCATGACAAGCTGCCCAAAGTTCAGTGCTACGATCAGTGTGAAAACAGATGGACAGTACCAACCACCTGCCCCCAGCCCTGGCGCTACACAGCTGCAGCTGTTCTGGGTAACCAGATTTTTATTATGGGCGGAGATACTGAATTCTCTGCGTGCTCCGCTTACAAATTCAACAGTGAGACATACCAGTGGACTAAGGTGGGAGATGTGACAGCCAAGCGAATGAGTTGCCACGCAGTGGCATCTGGAAACAAATTGTATGTGGTTGGAGGCTACTTTGGCATTCAGAGGTGCAAAACATTGGACTGCTATGATCCCACGTTAGATGTATGGAACAGCATAACAACTGTGCCCTATTCACTAATTCCCACGGCATTTGTCAGCACATGGAAGCATCTCCCCTCCTAATTGTGTGTATGTTGCAATGATAAATTATCAGGTAAGAAATAGCACCTTTGAATTCCACTGTAATAACACTTTTCAAAAAGCTTTTCAGCTCTGAGGAAGGTGGGCATATTCAATCCAATTTTACAGCGGGAGCAACTGTGACACATATATTTACGGGCTATTGTAAGCCAGGCACTGTGTCTGTGACAAAGCCAGGTGCTGGAAGTAGTTTGCCACATATCTTGCAGCCACTTCTCTTCATGGGGCCTTTTCATGAATGATTTAGATATTGAAAACATTCTTTTTCCTTAGTCCTATACTTGTGTGGAAGTGCAGAAAATTTGGAAATTGAGTCTTGAAATGTGTTTAGATACTAAATGCATGCTAAACAAGGGTTCAGCGCCATTTTCCTGACAAGAGATATACAACTGTATATCCAGTATCAGTGCCCAAAAAGGATACTGTAAATTCTGATCTGAAGCTGATATTCACACGAATTTCCAGGCAGACAGCATGCTTTCTCCATGCAGACAGCCTTTAGGGAAATGTGCTGAAAGGGGTTTTACAGGCACGTCAGACCTAATTTTCCATATCACCTAGACAGCACAATTGCATCTTGCAGGGAATAAGGTTGCATTTGCTCCATTGATAAACTTCAAAATACAGATTTTTTTTCAAAATAGTTATGGTCATATATGTTGGACTAGGTAGAGTGTTGGGAAGACATATGATTAATATTGCTGGCTGAAATAATTATCAGTCTATAGCACACACTGTTCCAAAACAATTTAATTATACATAATGGGCCAAGCTCTTACCAGATGAAACTTCAGCATTTTATCTTCTCATAAGCAAGTCTGAATTTGGCCTTGCTTATTTTGGTTGCTCTGAATTTCTGATTTTTAGGAGGAGGGCACAAAAATTTCATGGAAAAAACCCACTAAAAACATAATATTTTTCAAGTCTGTTTTTTCATGCTAACTACTAACTTTGACTTCAACTATTACTATTATTTCTTTATTTTAATCTTTTCTAGTGTCATATCACTCAAAATAAGTCACAGACACTTTCCAAAATTATTAATATTTGTATTTTGCAACAAATCTGGCAGACGCCCCTTAGGGTTGTGTTGCTCTTTTCCCAACACTCTCCTCTTGAGACTTTAGTACAGAACCATGGCTTCCACCAGCCAACCAAACAGATATAGTGGCGTGCTTAATCCTAAACAACCCATGCCATTTGAGTGGTAGGTTTTTTTTTGATTTGAACCGTGTCTAGTGTAACCATGAAGGCAGGCAGGTTAGAAGGAACAAGACAAATAAATACAGTTGCAGTAATTAAATTAGCTCTGTCTTTGCATCTGAGTTACCCAGAAGTCCAGACAGATGGAGGTTTTCCAGAAAATAGGAAGAACAGTTTGTATATAAAGACTTCCCTAGGTACTTCTGTTTGGAACATAGAACATTTTTTTTTTTCTAACATCCTTTGCAGTTGCAGACATTTGCCTGAATCTTGCAGTAAACACAAAACCCAAGTGTCTTTGAAGCAGAGTAGATATAAGTATGAATACAGAAATGTAGGGTAGCTGTGAAATTCCTTTCTCTGTGGTACACTGAGGATTCATCTTGTAGCTGTCTTTCAGCTGAGTGGGAGCTTTGAAGGAGTAACAGATACGAGGTTGGGCCCATGCAAAGCAGCAGGTCACCGTGGAAATCTGGTGTGAAATTGGGCTCTGTTGTGCCCTCAGCTGCTCTTGTCTCAGGTGGGTGGTTGTCTTAGAGACACTGCCCTCGCTCCTCTCCTTCGTTTTTCCCATACTTACCCTTGGAAAAGCTGGGCAGACTCTTGAGACTTAACCAGATCCTGGGTGCTGGGAGTAGTCGCACCCCACCCCCCTGATAGCCAGCAGATTGAAGCCCCGATTTCTGTGTGGTGGCTTCCTCCCTAGCTGGGAACAATGTCTTGACACCTTCAGTTAATTTCTGTTATTACAGACTTTCAGCAGTTCTCAGTGTTATTAGAGCAGCAGCATTGAATGCCCAAACTCAGGTCTGTGCCAAGAAAAATATTGACTTCTCTGAGACTGACTTAATTGTTCTGAAGTTTACAGTACATGAGAGGGCGTGTTTTATTTTGAGAAAGAGTCCTTAGAATATAACGGTGCAAAAAGTTTTCCTTTGCTTTGCAGTATCTTGTTAAAAGCCATTATTTTAGCTTCACTAACACACAAGATAACTGGCTTAACCAGTATCTTAACAAGATACTTGTGGAACGCAGCTGTAGACTGAAGTCTCTCCAATGCTGTGTGCTCATCCAGCAAGTAGGGTTTTTTCTACCGACTCCTGCTGCTTTGTCGGTGGGTGGGAGGGACAAAAAGGAAATTACTTCTGATTACACCCTGTTTTCATGATGCTGTGTGGCCCCAGTCTGACAGCTTTTAGGAAGACTTCAGTCTGCTTTGTCCCTTTCCTCAAACTTGGGGCATTTGAGTAGGCTGGGGATTTCTGCCCCCCACCCGCACCCCCACTCTGCTCTGGAATTGTTTATTTATTTGTTGTTTTTTTTAAAGTTCATCCTGTGACAGGAAACATTGTTTTGGCTTCACTGCTGATAATGTGTTTCAGTGGGAAGAATGGCATGCTACACTGAAGGACTAGAACAGACTAACCAACACTAAGTGCAGAGACTTTTTTTTTTAGACATAATGAAGGTGGTGTGTTTCAACCCCACAATTGTGAAGAGGCTTGATGCTCTGGGCCGTTCTGTAGGCTGTGGTGTTTCCTGTGAGTGTTCCCTGTTGTTCGTAGACATCACAGCTTGAGAGAGATGCGGCACGCTCAAATGAACTCTAGTTCACTGGAGCTCCTTTGCATTGCAATGATGTAGGATTTGCCTCTTAAAATTCTAGCAGTGCTGTCAGAAATAACTATGATGAGCTGATGATGGTTTGGAAGCTGACATTTTAATACAGTTTAATAGTGAAAAAGCAAAGCACAGTCTCAGCATCCAAAGGCTGAATTTCTCAATGAAAAATCAATTTTTTTAAGCATTCTAGGATGGAATGCATGGTGCATTGCTGTGTGAAAATAAATGAGCTGACTTTTGCTTTAATGAATAGCACATATGTTTTATGTAAGGGGATTATATGACCCTTTCTATATTGTGAATAAGTTCCGTTCAGAATTCTTCATGGTGAATGGAGACATCGGAGTGAGACACCTTCACCTCCCCTTCTGCTTTTCTTCAACCAGGTTTGCCTTGACCTGGGGATAGAAAAAGCTCTTTGCATAAGTGTTCATGTGTGCTTTTGTGGAAAAGAAGTTGCACAAGGTTATGTTTGCTTAAAACAAATACACAAAGCTTTAAGATTTTGGGTGAACACAGAAATGTTGAAGCATGCCGGATGCAGAACTTGTCATACTGAACTGTACTGGGCCAGTTTGATTTAGGATCCAGGTAGCTGAATTTATAGCCAAAAAAATAAACTGTCTTTCTGGGTCAGGAGGATGGTTTTCAGAGGAAGGCTAGTAGAATAATGAAGGCAGAATCTGACCCTAAAATGATTATGTTCTTGGCTATTTATCAGTAGTTGGCTATCACATAGGAACACTGAGATGGGGGTGGGATGGGGAGGCCCATCAGCTGGATTGTATCCTGAGTGTAGCTTGTAGATTTTCTTTGACATCTAACAAAAACCTTATGGTACATTGTATCAGCAAATCCTTTTAAATATTCTCTCTCTTCTTTTTTTTTTTCCTTTTTTTCCCCCTCTTCCCATGCTTTTAGTTTACTTTATTTGGAGAAGAGAATTGGAACCTCAGATCTGGAGAAATGGTTTTAATGAAGAAAAATCATTCAGTGTCTCTTGCATTTGAAGAAAATCATCTGCACCTTGTAAATTATCTAACCCAGACATGAAGGAATGGGAGGAAAAAAACCAACTGTCTTCAGTGCTTCAGCACATGGTTTAAATATGAATGGACAAACCTGTGATCTGGTCCTTGTGCTAGTAATTGTGGATTAATGCCAATATTAATCAGTCCTTCAAAGGAGAAAAAGAAGAGACAGAACTTCTCTGAGCTATGCAGCACACAGCACTCTATTTCCACGGTCTCTGCTGTTTCTATGTGAAATTTGAAATGGTTGTCACCTCTCTTCGTGGTGGTTTGAAGTGCCAGCACCAGCTGCAGTGGAAGCAGGCCAGGTCTGAAGCAGCAAGATGCCGCTGTGAATGAAGATGCAGTGGTGTTGCTGCTGAACTCTGCAAACCAGAGCGTGCTTGTCTGTGGGCAGTGCCTGCAGCATCTCTCAGATCCCACATTGCATTGCCCCGTCTACAGCAAGTGACTTTCCAGTTGATAAGGAACAGCCCAGTGGTGAAATATTTTTGCAACAGCGGGGAATGAATGACATCCCCTAAATGCTCATTGTTCTCTTTCCTTCCTGTATTTATAAGAAATTCAAACTGTCCCATTCCTGTTATGTTACTAGTTGTAGATGTAGCTATTTATTGTTCAGTGCTTGCATGCTGAAACAGTGCCTGCAATTATCTTCATGTTGCAAGGGCTTGTGTGAATTGTTGTATGTTTTGCACATTTTGTGATTGCTGACTTGTTCTGCTGCACAAAGAAAGAAAACTGTTGGGTAACAGTTGGAGGTGAGAGGGAGGGATGGCTTTCTGGTCAGAAATGGAAGGATTACAAGGCAGGATCTTAAATTACACATGTACTAAAGGAAGAAGCCATGGAGGTCGCTTTCTCAGGCCACCAGTTCCCCAGCTTGCATGTGGTGTGCCTTGTAGATGGTGTCCTTGCTACATTTCATTTGTTGGCCACGCCTTTCAATTTCTAATCTGGAAATAGCCAAAATCTCTTGCAGCTCTCTCTTTGTGCAGCTTCCTGATTGCAATGCAAATACTGTGGAAGAGCTTCTGGATACCAAGCCTAGATGAAGTAGTTGTCCAAAGTTATTTATTTATTTATTGGGTTGGAGGAGGGGTACCTACAGTGTAGCCACATGGACCTAAGTGAGTGGAGTATGGTGATTCAAGAATAAAAAAAAACCCTCAAGATAGGTTAGTGATGAAGTCTTACAAAAAAAAAAAGAAGAAGAGAGCAGCAATTTTGCACTGACTGGATTGCCTCATCCATCTGGATTTCAGATGATCGTCTGAGTGCCCAGGTGTCAAAGACCCAAGTGCTTTAGCAAAATTCTTATGGGGATATAAAATAAATTTCAAACCTCTTAATCTTAAAATTAGCCCTCAAACTCTGCTGCCTTTTATTTTGCTTAGCCAGGTGTGTCTTTAAACACTTGGTCGCTCAGAAGTGTCAGATACAATCCTGAGAAACCAAACTTTGAGGTTTTTTTTAAGAAACAGAGATGAAGCTACTCTTTTTCTTCTGGATTTCAGAAGCTTATATTTCACAAGTGTTTTCTTTGTCAGATCCTGTCATGAAGCATGTATTATGTTGTGTTTTTCCCTTAATGTTTCTGGAGCCCAACTTAACTGGTGCATTCAGTAACATGTTTGGTGTGTGCTGTGGTATAAGTAAACAACACCTGCATGCGTGCATGCAAAACAAAAATAGTCACATTGGTGATGGTTGTCTTTCTCTGTGTTACAGTGATGTAGCTGTATTTGTGAAAGCTTGTCATCTGAAAGTGTTTACACTGGTCACTGGAAATTTCCTTGTGCTGCCTTACGTTAACTTGCTGTTTGGAGTAGACCCTTGCATTTCAGAAGTAGAGTATTTGGAGTTCTGTGAATACTGAGAGAACATTGATTAATTAGCAAAGGTATTAGCAGTTTTTTAAAGAGTGAGGCCCAGCTAGATGTGAACAGTTATAGTTCCTCTGGTTAAACTGATTTCTTGAAATGATAGATTTAAAAAAATGTTTAAACCCACAGCCTTCCCCCACGCCCCCTGCCCTCAGCATTGGTTCTTTTCTCTTAGATGACTTTTAAGCAATAGGAAAACATTTTAGATAGGGTAGATCTCCTTTCTGTATCTGTTACTTGCACAGGTTGCCCCGTTGAACCAAATAGACCTGAATTGCTGTTGGCTTTCATCTTGTGGATCGCTCCCAGGAGTGCAAAGGGAACCATAAAATCAGACTTTCTGTGCTCTGCGTGTCCTCTCCCCAGATGCTGGTGACTGCAGAAAGTATGAGGAAGTGAAGAACCAGGTCTCCAGAGGCCCCCTTGTTTGAATAAGGGCATATAGGTTTGAGCAGCTGTTTCCAAAGTTGTGGTCTGCTTTAAAGTCCTTGATTAATTCCTGTGTGTAGGCTGAAGGAAACTGAAGTCAGGGTGGGCCTCTGGCTCTGCAGGGACTACGCTAGGCTCTTTCTCTTTGAGTTGATGTGGGAATCCTGGCTAGCTACTTGACCATTCCAGTCCTGCAAAACACCCCACACTTTGAAGCAAATGCAGTTCACAACGGAGTGCACACAAAAACCCCAGCATAAGATGGGAAGGTTCCTCTTATTTTGCAGGCTGGTTGCTGTAGAAACATATAACAAAGGACAGCATTCCTCTTCTGGTATAATTGTGCAGCCCCTTTTCTCTAGGTCTGACACCTGTCTGAATAAGAGTGATTAGAGCAGAATAATGTTCCCTTTCCTGGCTATTGAAGACATGGTTCATGTGCTAAAAGAAAACTGCAAGTGAAGAATTTAAATTGTCTGTGTTGTATCTTTTTGTTTGCTACTACATCTTAAGGTTTTGTAAACTTTCATTTTTTTCACAATGTGAAACTGAAGGTCAATAAATTATTAGAGATTTTGTCTCCATAGAGTATTTATGTCAAGTGTTGTCGCTTCCTCCCCACCCCCAAATGCTTTAAATCCCTTTTCATGTCCTCTTAACGCAAGCACATCGGCAACATGTGGTTTACTGCTTTGGTTTAAGCTTCTGCTTCAGTTGCACTTCCCTACCCTTTGTTCTGTTCTGCTGCTCTTACTATGATCTCTATCTCAAAGTTCAGCAGTTAAAACTGGAGAGCCTCAAAACATTTAAGAACAGGAAATACAAGTTTGTTGGTGCTTGCAGTACAGTTTAGCTGGTGCCTGATACAACTTGGAAGTGGAATTAGGCATCTCAAATCCTTCATAATTATTCTCAAGGCCAAAAATGCTGGCTGTGTGTAAAACATTCCAGTTGTTGCATCTAATGCACACACATAACCAAACTCTTTGATCTTTTATTTTTATGTGTGTACTGAGTGGTTGGTTTTTTTAAGTGTTGTTGATTTTCTATGTTGGCTTAGGACCTCTCTGGCCTTAAGGTGTTGCTGACCACGGTCCAGGTCTAAAATAACATCACACAGGGGCATTCATGCAGACATGCTGGAAGTTCAGTTGCTGAGGGCTGTGAAGTACTGACCTGCTGTCCTGCTTAGAAGAGGATTTTCCTCAAGTGTGCATCCATTGCTTTGAAGCAAAGGAACAGGGCCTTTCTTCCTTGCTTGGCTTGTTTCACTACCTGCCATCTCATCCCTTTGCCTGTACAGCTCCGAAGGAGGAAGTAAAAGAGGAGGTGGTCACAGCACACTGTAGTGAGGATGCTGATGCTTCAGTTCCCATCCCTAGCCTGTACAATGTGTCTTGCATAACTGAGCACCTGGTTCCTGACACTGGAAATGAAATAGTTGTGCTTGTTTAGCAGAGAGAGAAAGGCATGGCAGTAGCAGGAAGTATTGCAAGAATTCAGTTTTCTGAAATCTTGTGATCTACCTCTATTAATTCCTGCAGCTGCCCCCTTAAAGTCACAGGTTTCTTTGGGGTGTTTGACCCAAAGAGTTTACCACAGTATTAAGTGATTTTCAGGCCTTGGCACTGCTCAGTTAACCTGTGTTTGAGTTGTTTGCAAACAGTCTTGACTGGAGGAGTGGCACACATCAAACAATCTTGAAATATGAAGGATACTGGAAGAAATCAGCCTTCCCACAGAACAGGATAAAGTTAAATCAATTACAGTGCTCATTGCTAGCTCTTTACTGAACAGTAACTTGGGTTGTGGTTTTGTTTGGTTTTTTTAATTTGGATTTCACCAGCTCCTGGGATGCTTACAGCAGCACTGAGCATGAGCAGGCTGCTGCAGTGACTTACTGGTGTCATTTTAGGGCAGCAAGTTACTTATTGGAGGATTTTTTACCTGGTCATGGATTCAAACTCCTTTGCTTGGCTCTGAATGTGTTAGACTTCTCATACTGGAGATCTGATGTTTATGGTGAGAATTTAAAATAAATAATTACATTTAGATTTAAAACAGCTGATCATCTGTAAAATAGACACCTTTAAGGCATTGGCTTTATTCATGTTAAGCATGAATACTAAATCTCTTGAATTATTAGAAAGGAATCAGGTCATTAGCATTGAGTAAGGCTCCATCAAGCATACCTGGGTGATCAGCCCTGACCTAGGAAAGTCCCAAAGGCTCTGTTGGTACTAGTGAATTGAACATGCCTGGGAATGGTTTCTGACACTGAGGCAAGCTGGTAGGAAAAAGCCATGAGTTCTTCAAAGAGTCTCTTGTCCTGGCAGTGTGGCTGCATGTAAGCTTCTTGAGGCCACTGGAGTGCTCTGGCTCCTAAACTTTACCTGGGAGTGCTCCAGAGTGCAGGTCAGCATGGGCTGAAAACACACTGAGGCTGCTCAAACAATTTAGCAGGACTGACAATCACATTCCAGTGCCTGGAACATTCCTGAGCATGTTTTAATATATTGCCACCCAGCTGGAACATCCAAATAACATCACGTTTAGATCCTGGGTTACAGTGGAAGTTGTCTGACCCAGCATTAATGACCTAAATGCTGTTGAAGGTGCAGAAAGAAATGCTGTCTCGGAGTCACCCAGACCTTGATAAATGGAAATAATGGGTCCCAAAGAGGTGGAGACACATTTCGTCTTCTGATGCCATGAAATGATACTTTGGAAACGTGGAGAGAAGAGGGCAGAAGTGTGAACATGAGTGAAGAATGGTTGGTATGCTTGAAGGTATGAAGTGTCAGTGCCCTGCAGGCTTTACAGGAGCAGCATGGTGTCTTCTCCTTCTGGTTTCAAAAAAAAAAAAAAAAAAAA